TTAGGTGGACAGGGTTTCCACGTTCAGTCTACAGTGCTAGATTAACAATATATATATATATATACTTGTACAAATATAGGTTGAAATGAGGGACGGTCAAAACTTTGTGGTATTTGTCAACGAAAAATGACTTTTTCGGTTTTGAACTGGACCTTATCGTTTTACAGTGTTGTGAGTTCGCCACATACTTATGATAATTTACAGCGCTGGGGTTATCGGTTTTGAGGTGGACCATATCGTTTTAATTGGTTTGGTGGACAAACCTACCCCCCTTTACTAAGTGGTCTTCACATGTTTGACCATAGCTGTAGCTCAAATCAATTGACACCACCAACTGGACACCCTGTGCTTACCAAAACGCGACTCCAAATCCAAGCTTCTCGTGAGAGGTCACCGAAGTCATCCCTCACATGCAGGCAAAAGGTACGAATCCCACGGACGTGTGCGTCGCGGATGCCTTCGCAATCGCCACCAAACCAAATGTTCCAGGATGGCCCTTTAAGACCCAACTGGTGAGTGTTGAAGCCAGTGGGACGATTAATAATGATGCCCATGTCACCGCCCGGATCATCCTTGACCATCAAAACCACTGACTTGTGGAAGTACTGCTGGTGCCCGGCAAAGGAATCTCCAGGTCTGGACATCAAAATGCTGCCAGGTTGGATCACTGGAGTTGAAAACGCCCACTCCGGACTTGTGGGAATGTCTTGACTCAGGCTCTTTGAGCTGCTTTGGAGCAGCAATGAAGAGTCCACCTCCATGTCCGGAAGTGCATCAATGGAAGGCCTCTCACGGCTAATGATCCCCAATGCGCCCAGCAACACCAAGAGCTGCCCGATGTTCCTTCGACTCTTTGCTCCTGCCGCCGGGTCGTATGGCTTCCCCCGTGGCCGCCAGCCCTTCAAGCGCCTTCCTGGCACATAGCGGGTACGTCCCGGCCGAAGCTCCAGCCCCTCTGCCCGGCGGATTATGCGGTCGCGGGGTCCGCGTCCCGCGCAGAAGAGGGTGCCCTGGAGGTGGAAGAGAATCACCAGGGCCAGTGCACACAGGGCACCAAATGGCGCCTTCGGGAACATGGCGCCCAAGCTGTCTGTGGGCATGACTGGCCTGTTTTGAGCCGAAGCAGTTGTGGATATAGGGTGTGGGTGTCCAACTGTGACATCTCAAAATATCTATGAGCACATTACAACTCTGATGGGTGACCAGAGTGGATGCAATCTTTGGACACTGAGGTCTGAACGGCGGTGGTTTGACGCCTGCAGCCAGGTTGGACGGTGTAGGTAAGACTCACAACTTCATGTTATCCAAAGTCATGGGCCTCCGAACGCGCAAGCTGACCAGTCATAGACTCCCCATCGCCCATCCCCTAACTTCAACATCTTCAACCTCAGCCTTGACCCACATTCCATGGATGGAAGTCCAGGAACAGCAGCTGAACCCCCTGTGCAGGCCTAAGACTAAGTTGGCTGCAGCCTTTTGCGAACCTCTTCGCTCGATCTCCTGCACTAGATCAGCTCAGATTCCGGCAGTCGAAGTGACGCCCTACTTTAGTCACTTCTTCTTCAGAATCCTTTAAGAACCGTTACCCCATGGTTTCCAATTGTATCATATCTGATGCATACAGTATCTGTCTGTTGTTACATGCTTGGGCGAGCCCTTCATAGCCCAGAGTCCTGTCTTCTTCGTAAGAACATGTAATACCTGGTCTTCTTCGTAAGAACATGTAATACCTGTAAGAACCACGAATTGTTTGTCAGGTGTCATCCCACCAAAACACGTCGAATAAGCAGTCGCCCCTTGGTCCATACACAGCATACCAGGTCCATAAATCATCAAAGAACATTGCTTTGGCACATGGTATGTTATGTTTTTCCCGACTCTATGTCGACTTATAGTAATATTAACAATATATGTCAGATATCCACACGGGTCCAAGATCAGACTGGGATGGCATAGGAAGTTCGAGCGGGCGAACCTCCAATATCTTTACGGCATTTCAGGGCATTTGGTGGGACTGCGAATTCAGAAAGGCGATCGTTTGCTTGGACTATGAACAAACTCACTGTTAATATCTGCATCCGTTTCCCAAAATCTGAACATATCTGAACAGTTCAATCCTCTTATATCATCTTATTTATATATATATATTATATTATATCCTCTTGCTGTTCCAAGCAACCCTGCACGAAAAGGTGCTGCAGGTTGACCGATGACATCCAATGACAATCAAGCTTGGGCCATTTAGGTCCGACATATTTCTGCATGAACAAAACTGTAGTATCGGACTCAATCATGCCCTCGGAGGCTGACAATGACCTTCCTTTCTGTGCAATCTGCACATGCCTGCACCTTTGCCAAAGAAATTATAGGTCATGGAGCACCATCACCACCAGCTTGACGTCTAGGAACATGTGTACTACGACTAAGTCGACCAAGTGGTCAATGAATATCAATGACCTCTAGGGATCCTCATGACAGGGCTTGGAAAAATGAGCCGGTCCATGGCCTGGTCCATCCTCGCAGCAACGAAAATTCCTTTGCATCCAAACTACTTGTCTCTGTGCATACCATGTCTGTCTTCTTCTTTGCCCCTTGTCTCCTGCATTCTTGTGAGCAGTCTTCGGTTTTCCTTCTCGATGTTCGAGTAGCGTTCCTGGCTTCGGAAGCTCCAAACATGGTCGCTTCAAACCAAAAGGACAATGGACGTGTTCCACGTTCCCCGTGATTGTGAGGAGGCCCAACACCAAGTCAGGGCGAACAGGATCAGGCTCTAAGATGCCTGGGAAAACAGCCACGGCCCCAAGATACATCCCTTCCAACAGGGACTCACATGCGAATCCCAAATGAATCCCTAAATCATCCTAAATCCATCTAAATCCCTAATTTTTGCTGTCTTAAGATGTCTTGAGTTGCTTTGTTTATTCGATGTTTTCCACTTTCCTTCCATCACCGACCCCCACATCGCGTCTGAAAAAAACATCGCCACGTCGCCTCGGCCAGCTGCTCTTTCTTGGCGTTGCGACTGCGGGTGGGCTGCAGCTTCATCTCCTCTCCTCGGGAGACCGACAAATGTGCCGGATGCGCTTTTGATCCACGTGGTGAGAGGGTCCTGGTTCAGTCGATGAGGTAACCAAGAAAGAGGTGGAGGGTTCGCAGAGTCTATAGTATTACTTGTTGTAATGTAGTAGTCCAAAGGGAATTAGATCGGATTGTCCGGGATTGTCGAAGGTGAGTTGGAAGAACCCCTTTCTTGTACGATCGGCTGTGTGAGGAAGCACTCCATTAAGTTCACCTACCAGTCTTGCAGCCAGGTTCCTGGAAGGAGCGGCGCACGAATGGATGCCAAGCCGCCATGGTAAAGGTGGCAAAACCTTCAATCTAGCTACTCTCCAAGCTACTTGGGTGTGATTCAGGATTTCTCCAAACGCTCACGGTAACTTGATGTTCCTGCTTAGTGGCTCCTGAAAAAAGCAAGATTTAGCGTAGACCTCGAAAACTAAAGTCATATTTGTTGTTGACCCGCCGCACCTTTTTTTGGTGGCAACTCAGATCCACTCCGCTCTTGACATCCATGAACCATCAACGTCTGAGCCATCGGATCCCCCAAATCCTTGCAAACCTCATTCTGCCGTGTCTGTCTTACGGTAAGGCCCCACACGGACAGACCACTGATTATTGATCAATGATCTTGACCTGGCACTGCAGCGATGCCGCGATGCCCCTTCTGATGCTCAAAGGATTATTGTATAGGTGCATGGATCAATTTAGATCATTATAAAATGTTATAAAGATATACCCACCTGAAAACTAGCATGGACCGTGACAATGGCTCCCTGGAAGGTTGTTTTCCTCCACCAGCCAGCGGTTTTGGGGTTCCATGTTAACCTGCAGGGGAGTATTCTTTAGTCATTTTAGGTCTGTCACCCAGCTTTCTGCACAAAGGAGCTTCTGGCAAGCAAAGCAAAGGATGAATTAACGAGTATCAATCTCCACTATCATAACCCATGTATAGCAGAACCAGCATGCGATAGCATGCGTGCATGTAACCTTGCACATCCTGCCGCTTCCAAGTCAGAGTGTTTAAATCAACGTCTCTCCGCCCCTGAAAGACGCTTCCCCACGATTTCCCTCTACCAAGCAGGTGGGCTGCTCAGCTTCCATGCTTGTTCTTGACGGGACTGTAGATTCACGGACGGTCTTGTTGAGGTCGCGCGGCCGTGCCCCTTCAGTCTTTTCCGCCTGGCAACCTTCTCCTTGTGCGCCTGAAATCGGGCCGCGCAGGCCCAAGACGAACGACATGGTCATTGCAAAAATAAAATCATCGTCCGGTCTTCCACCAATTCCACGCATGTCCGCGTCCGTCCATCTTTCTCCGTATCCGTGTCCCAATCCTGTCCCTTTCAGGATGACCCTGACACGGACACGTCCCAAGAACAATAACAATCATGCCCAATCCGGGCGTATCTTTGCATCTGGAAGACCTTGTAGAGTTCGGACATGTCGGGAATATTCCATCAGTCGCAGCCCAAAAAGTCTGAGGCAGGAACTAAGCCTAAAGCCTAAAGCGCCCAACATTCCCTGTTGTCTGCAAAGGTTGCCAAGATTTGCCAAGTGCATTGGGAGCTTAAAGCAACTATCACTGAACATGCTGAAGGATACTGAAGGTTATTCCAAATTCATCCAAATTCCCTTCCCTGATAGGTCACCATTGGATAAAGAACATGTCAGGATTCCTGGTTGAGTTTGGTGTGGACCTGCAAACATGCGGATGTCGGATGTCGGCCTCGTTGCCCCATCGTCTTCGAAAGCGATGTCAACGATTTCGTTGTGGAAACATTGAACCCCGTGGGCCAAGGGTGGATTTAAAGGCACCCACCTTTGCCGTATATTACGCTACAATTTACTACATGTTACATGTTACTGTACTATATGATACTACTTAATTACACATATACTAGCCTTCATGTAGAGGGACGTGTAGGAAGACTACGACACACCAAAAACCGACAAAACAGGAAGGTACGGACTTCGCTGGAACGTCCCTTCGTGTTTCCCCAGACTCGGACTCTGCTCGAAGGTGCGCCAGATGTGTTCGTAAGAATCGTCTGTCAGATTTGAGCCTAGAGTTCGATGGGACATATCGACAGGGTCCAACTGTTGTACTTCTTCATAGAAGGTTTGCACCAGGAGGCCAGGAAACAAATAGACATCCGGGAATGTCCGGGTGACATTCCCCACCTACAAGTAGATGCCTAGTTCACCCACCAAGCCAGCCTATGTACCGCGCACACCGCGATGCCGCCGATGCCTCAAGCTGCCGATGCCTCACCCAATCTTCCACACGCTCGTTGCACGTTGGCCTGTCGCCCAGGCGTGCACATTTGCTCCAGCCAAGCAAGCATCTGCAAAGCTAAGCATTCGGGATTGGTCAACCAGCCCGACCAGTCCATTGACCGTGTGGCCGACCGACCTAGGGTCGGTAGGTCAACCAACCGCTTGGTCTCCTGGTGCCATAACTCAGGTCGTCGAATCAGGAAGAGATTGCTGTCATGTGTCGAAGCCTTTCGACCGGTGTTTTTGGGACTCAAGTCACAGATCGGACCAATGTCTTGCAAACATGGTCAGCAGGTAATAATTCTGCCATCGGGATTTTCATCGGTTTTCGTGCTAAAATGCGGGAAAAAACACGCAAACACACACACAGAGAAACGTCAGTGGTAGGAACTAGCATTGTCGCATCTTGCTACCATCCTTGACAATCCACAAAAAACACTCTCCGATCTACCAACTGTAGCTCACCTGTCCGTAGAACCAACCGATGTCCAAAATGAACCCGCTATGAGATTCTAGAATCCATGACAAATTTTGGTTGCTCCAGGCACGGTCGAAACTGCCAGGCCTTTTCTGATCAATCCTGGCGGTAGGATCACGACCAAGCCCGTGCGGTTTGGGTCGCATTGATCTGTGGATCGGCGTATGTGATCCCAAAGACTCCAGGAGTATAGCAGAAATTGCCGATCAGTTGGGGTGGTCTTTAGGGTTAGCCATGCACATTCCATACATGGAGTGTTGGGGG